TCTCTTGCAAAGAAAGAACAAAAACTAAATCCTTGAAAAAAATCCTTTTCATCCTTCGGTTCCTTTCTGTTTTTTTAGATCTTCCTCTATAAAAATTTGCTCTCTTTCTCCTCTCCTGATCTCTTGGAAAAATCTATTTTCTTAAAATTTTTGTACTTTTAAATTTCTTGCCCCCTTCTTTCGAAAACAAAAACCCCCTTTTCCATATTTTTTCCTTGTCTTTTTTATACTGGTCATTTTTAGTGTTTCACATGAAGACAAATTTCTGAATTTTCCCTTTCTCATGTATAGAGTCGGTTTTGACATTGGACTGTAGGCTTGCCTGATGCACGATTTCCATTTTAGGGGGGCCAAATCTTTTTTTTTTCAAAATTTTCTATTTTTTATGTAAAATAATTTTATTTTTATACATATATATATATATATATTAAAAAATTTGGAGGCAATCCCTGGGAGGCAAAAAAATTGGTATTCACAGTTGTCCTTCTTTACTCAGTTCATATCAATTAGAAATATTTTAAAGTTAGAGTTGATGAGAATTGAGTAAAAAAGTAAATCAATTATTGTTTGAAACGAACAAGGTGTACAAGGAACATAAAAACAAATATAATGATCACTCAGCTGTTGGAGAAAGTCATAATTTATGACAATTTGTGTCAAAATGAAATTGTGAAGTGACATTGAGTTTTAACTAAAAACAAAGGTTGTTAGGTAGATATTGGGCTTAAACAACAGGATAAAAGGTGGAAAGTGCCAGTCAAGTTCTAGACTAAGGCCAGTCAGGTGTTGGGCTTTGACAGAAAAATAAAATATGCCAGTTTGGTTTTGGCTTTGACTGAAAGGTAAAAGGTGCTAATTTGGTTATGAACTTTGACAGAAAAGTGAAATATGCTAGGTAGGTTCTGGGCTTTGACAAAAAAAAAATAAAATGAAATGTGTTAATCAGGTGCTGGACTTTAAGAAAAAGTGAAAGATGTGCTAGGTAGGTTTTAGGCTTTGACAGAAAAGTGAAATGTGTCAGTCAGGGGCTGGACTTTGAGAAAAAGTGAAAGATGCTGTCAAATTTTAAGCTTTGACAAAAATGTAAAGAGACTTAGACAAGAAAGGTAAAAAGAAAGACAGAAAAATAAAAAAGTCGATCATGTTCTAGATTGCAAAAGAAATAAAAGGACAGTCAGACTCTAAATTTTAACAGTAAAAATAAGACAGAAAAACAAAGAGATCAGTCAGCTTTTGAATTTTGATTGAAAGGTAAAGAGCTCAGTTAGATCATAGACTTAGATGAAAGATAAAGGTTGTAAGGCAGATAATGAATTTAAATTAAACTTCAAAAGGTGACAATAGATACAATCAAATGCATGCTAATGTAATTATGCAATTGCATAAACTAGATGAATATTAACACTTAGAATGAAGTTATTAAATGATGAAGTCAAATGCTATGATGAGACTTATTAAATAAAAAAAAACTCTCTGTCTCTTTTTTTTTTTTTTTTGAGATAGTAATTTTTCAACCTTATCAAAACATGCACTTTAAGGTTCATAAATGAGTAAGGTTTTTGGTTCACATTAATTCTTTCACGAAATTGGAGCTGAGTGAGGCATTAATCGAATTGAACTGCTATTTATTTTTGAATTGTCATGAGTGTGGTCAACTTCTTCTGTCACACTAAACTTATCAGGAAATTGGTGAGAGTTACCGTGTAAATTTTTAGAGCCTATTATTGTAATCGTATTTTCTTATTATCCTTTTAACAATTTACATGTTTCTTTTTAGTATATAATAACAGAAATGTTGTTGAAGAAGTTGAGTAAACAAAGTGGTGTATAAACTTAATGAAAGGTGACAAAAGTCAGAGATAAGTATTTTTTGGAAAACATGATGACTATGATTAAGAAATGATGATCTTACAAAGAAGACTTACGACACGAAGAAGAAACAAATACATTAAACAAAGGATCAGAATGACTACAAAAATGGTGAAGTATTATGCCAATTAAGTGACGTCATCCAGATGAACAGTGCTAGGTTCTCATGTAAATTGATTATCCATTAACACTGCCAAATAAAATTGCCCTAGTATGATATTTTGAATTCATCTTTTGTTTGATTTAACTTCAACCACTCAAAACTTGCGCCAACTTAGTATTCCAATCCAACATATTTCCTAATTTGAAGTGCTTTCTTGCAATTGAAGTCAGTGCACCTTCTAAATTGCCTTTTCAGGTTTTCAGTTCAGTGTAGAATTTATTTGACCTTAATTTTTGCCTGAGCCGCTCTTTCGAGTTTTCAAGTCATTAGGTTGCTCTAACTTTTGCCTAGGTCGCTTTTTTGGGTTTTCAACTTAGCAAGCTATATTTTTTTTTCTTTTTTTCTCTTTTTTTAAATTAGTTTTAAGAAATAGTATTTTTTTGACAACATCAGAATTAATGGAGTTTGGAAGATCTTGTCCATCCATGTTTGTGAGGATTAGAGCTCCTCCTGAGAAAGCCTTTTTCACCACATATGGTCCTTCATAATTTGGAGACCACTTGCCACGATAATCTTTATGCATTGGCAAAATCTTTTTGAGCACCATATCTCCCTCGCTGAATTCTCTTAGACGAACCTTTTTGTCAAAAGCCTTCTTCATCCTTCTCTAGTATAGTTGACCGTGACATAATGCATTCAATCGTTTTCCTTCAATGAGATTCAATTGATCAAAATGAGATTGAACCCATTCTACTTCTTCCAATTTGATCTCTATCATTACTCTTAATAAGTGAATTTCAACCTCAATAGGAAGTACTGCTTCCATTCCATATACCAAAGAGTATAGAGTTGCCTCAGTTGAAGGACGAACTAAAGTTCGATATCCATGTAAGGCAAATGGCAGCATTTCATGCCAATCCCTATATGGCACCACCATCTTTTGAATGATCTTCTTAATATTTTTATTGGTTGCTTTGATCGCTACGTTCATCTTTGGGCAATAGGGGGAGGAATTATGATGTCGAATCTTGAAATTGTTACACAATTCTTTCATCATTTTATTATTCAGATTAGTGTCGTTGTCTGTTATCAACTTGCTTAGGAGGCCATATCGACAGATCAAATCCTTTTTAATGAATCTTACCACCACATTTCGGGTCACACTAGCATATGAGGCAGCCTTGACCCATTTTGTAAAATAGGCAATGGCAACTAGAATGAAGCGATGACCATTAGATACTTTAGGTTCAATGGGTCCAATAACATCAATTCCCCCATATTGAGAAAGGCTAAGGCGATGATAAGACATTCAGAGTTGTTGGGGAAACATTAATATTATTAGTATATGTTTAACATTTATGACATGTCTTCACATAACGAAAGCAATTGGCCTCCATTGTCAACCAATAATATCTAGCCATTAGAATCTTCTTTGCCATGGCATGTCCATTGCCATGAGTCCCAAATGAACCTTCATGAATCTCTTATATGATCTTTCGTGCTTCTAAATCATTCACACATCTGAGCAGAACCATATCATGATTCCTTTTGTAGAGCACATCTCCATTCAGAAAGAAACTCATTGCTAATCTCCACAATGTCCTTTTGTCATTTTCAGCAGCATTTAATGGGTATTATTGATGTTTTAGGAAATTTTTAATGTCATGATACCAAGGTTTACCATTGGATTCTTCTTCAATCATTTGACAATAGGCAGGATGATCAAGTTGTTGCATCTTTATGAACGACATGTCTTCTTTTTATCTCACTACAAACATTGATGACAAAGTGGCCAAAGCATCAGCCAATTGATTCTCCTCATGAGGAATGTGCTGGAAAGTAACCTCATCAAAATACTTCACCAATTCTCCAATATAAGCCTGATAAGGGATTAATTTTGCATCTCGAGTCTCTCATTCCCCTTTCAGCTGGTGGATCACCAAGGCTGAGTCACTATACACCTCAAGAATTTTGATCTTTGACTCTATAGCTGTTGGAATTTTCAAAGCACATGCTTCATATTCAGCTACATTATTCATACAATCAAATGATAATCTAGCTGTGATCGGGATATATTGCTTCTCTGGAGAAATCAATATAACACCAATCATATGTCCAAGTGCATTAGAAGCACCATCAAACATCATGACTCATCCATCTTTCGCCGAAGATTCTTTCTCATTAAACAACTCCATTATATTCTCATAAGGAAATTCATACTGTATTGACTGATAATCATTCACCGGTTGATGAGCTAAGAAATTTGCGAGAGCGCTGCTCTTAATTGCTTTCTGGGTAACATACACAATATCATATTATGACAAGAGGACCTGCCAATGTGCAATCCTTCTAGTAAAGGCTGGTTTCTCAAAGATGTATTTGATTGAGTCCATTTTTAACACCAACAAAGTAGTATGACGCAACATGTATTGCCTTAACCTGTAAGCTGCCCAAGTCAAGGCATAACAAGTTCGCTCCAATGAGTATTCGGCTTCATAATTAGTGAATTTCATGCTCAAGTAAAAAATGGCATGCTCTTTCTGACCTGATTCAACATGTTGACCCAAAACACATCCCATGGATCCTTCTAACACTGTCAAGTACATAATGAGCGGTCTCCCTGGTATCGACGACACTAGTATAAGAGGATTCTGTAAATACTGTTTTATTTTCTCAAAAGCTTCTTGACAATCATCATTCCACTCCATCAGCTGATTTTTTTGTAACAACTTAAAAATTGGCTCACAAGTGGTAGTTAACTGACATATGAATCAGGCAATATAATTTAATCTCTCTAAAAATCCGTTGACCTCTTTTTTAGTACGAGGCGGTGGCATTTCAGTGATTGCTTTTGCCTTGTCAGGATCAACCTCTATTCCATTTTGACTGACTATGAATCCCAACAACTTGCCAGATTTCACCCCCAAGGTACATTTGACAGGGTTCAACCGCAATTTGTATTTCCCTAACCGCTCAAACAACTTGTGTAAATTTACAATGTGGTCTTCTTCGGTCCTTGATTTGGCAATCATATCATCCTTATAGATTTACAACACATTCGAACCTTTCCATCTTTCTTAGGAACTGACACAATGTTGGCAACCCATTGAGGGTATTTGGCAACAACAAGGAAACCTGCATCGAATTGCTTCTTGACCTCCTCCCTAATCTTCAGTGACATCTCAAGTCCCATTCTCCTTAATTTTTGCTTAACTGGGAAACACTCTGGCTTTAGTGGCAATTTATGCTCGATTATATCAACATCTAGGAATAACATATCTTGATAAGACCATGCAAAGACATCACTATAATCATGCAAAAGTTTAATCAACTTGTCGCGCTCTTTTTTTTTTTTTCATAAGGGTGCCTATTTTGATTCCTTTATTATCATCTTCAGTCCCCAAATTAACCGTTTCAGTTGGTTCTTCATGAGGTTAGATCTCTTTCACTTCTTGATCAATTAACTTGAGGAATTCTGGCAATAAATCACCACCATTATCATCTTTGATCGCTTGATAAATGGGACAATCAAAATTAATGGATGAGATATTAACACAGTTACTTTCAGACATGTCACTTTCGAATCTGCCTTGTGCTAGAGTTGAGGCAAAAAAAAAATGAATGACAAGATTCAAATAATAAAGAAAGAAGACATGAAAGGTTACTGAGAATTCAAAACTGCATTTCATTTAAAAATATACTTAAAAGGAAACATGTGTCCTAACTTACAAAACAAATTGATATTTCAAATTACAAAAAGAAATCATATATCAGTGTTTTCAAAAAGTAATGATAGCCTAAAGCTTTGGGACAAAACAATAGGATTAGCTTCAATGATTACTTTGAATAGTCATTAAAAATCACAGGTAACTCAATGATCTCCCAATTGCCAACTTTGGTGTTCAGTGGACAAGTGTGGACTAGGTTCACAATCTCTTCTCCAGGTACATCTTCATCAGCAGCAGTCACTGAGTCTTGAAACTCAAATCCAGCACTATAAAAGCTCTTCAGAAGATCACAAATGGGGACCCCTTCACTTTCAGGCTCTCTACCCTCCAACCTAGCTGATCTTCTTTCTTTCTTCTCCTCTATGACTCTTTTCTTATCGGCCTTAGTGGGTATATACCCCAACCCAAACATATCCTTATTCTCATGGAGTTGTAACTATTTTGCTGCTTTTGTGGTCGTTTGTTTTGACCCAAACTCTCTTCCTCGAGCATGACTTTAGCTGTTATTATGGATGTATTAGACAATTGAGGCTTTACGATTGTGGTTCCCTCTCCAACATAAGTAACATTCACAATCTCTAAAGCCTGAAAAGAAGTCTCTAGAGCTTCTTCAGTAGCTTCAATGTAAGGAGTAGACGAAGGCTTACTCACTAACATATCTTCTTCACTAGAGACAATCACTAACTTATTATCAATGATAAACTTCAATGTTTGATGCAATGTGGATGGTACAACTCCAACAGAATGAATCCAAGGCCTCTCCAAAAGGCAGTTATAAGCTGGTGCAATGTCCATTACTTGAAACAAAATTTGAAAAGTGCAAGGACCAATTTGGATTGGGATCTCAATTTCTCCAATAACCTCTCTTCTTGTTCCATCAAAGGCTCTTACTATCATGGCATTAGGTTTCATATGCGACTCATCACAAGCTAATTTTAACAATGTTGCTTTTGACATCACATAAAAAGAAGATCCATTATCAATAAGCACTCTAGCAATACTGTGATCTTGACATTTGACAGAAATATGCAGTGCTTTATTGTGCCTCATTCCTTCGACAGGTACTTCATCATCAGTGAAGGTGAGATAATTGTTTGAAATAATATTACCAACAATGCCTCTAAACTTGTCGGTAGTGATATCATGGTTGACATGAGCCTCATTCAACACTTTCAAAAGAGTCCTCCTATGTGGCTCAGAGTTCAGTAACAGTGATAAAAGAGAATTACTAAAATTTTGTTTAACTATTCGACAACTTGATATTCATTTTGCCAAATAAATTTCAAAAACTCACAAGCTTCTTCATTAGACACTGTCTTCTTTATTTTAGGCATTTTCTCTTTGTCAGCATCTTCAAACTCGCCCAATTTGGCTTTCCCCTTTGAGAATTTCTCTATCTCTTTTACTCGCTCTTTTCTCAGATCCTCAAATGTATAAATACGACCACTGCGGGTCATCCCGCCAACACCAACAATGTTTGAGATGGCAAGGGTATCTGAACTAACACCTTGTGTTTGGTTTTCTTTCAGATTTCTGACATAAACCCCTGCATTATACTTCCATGGCACTGCTTTGTTGTCCTTGTAAGAAAATGGAGCTGGTATTTGTATAGTGATGGGTCTAGGTCCATTAGTATCTGGGGTATTCATACATTTGGTGTAATGAATGACCAAGGGTTTCAAGAAAGCTGAGGATTGCCCATCAATAGTCAAAACTTCATTTTTCTCCTTAGGATGCCTGATTTGGACCAAATGTTTGTCCATCAGGGTTTGCAAAACATGTTTGAATTCTTCACAATCTTCAATGGAGTGGTCTACATCAAGGTGCAAATTGCACATACTTTCTTCATGTACAAAACTCTTGATCAAGTCAGTCTTGTACAATTCAGTAAAAATAACCTTTAGAGGAGTCGTAACCTCTTCAACTTTCCTCTTCAAAACACTAGTAGACTCTTCCTTGATGGCATTTACTGATGGCCCTCCATGCCCAAGTAAAGGATTAATCCTAAAATTAGGATTATCCTCCTTGAAATTCAGCCATTTGGCATTGATTAAGTCTTGGACTTTAAACTTTAGTGTCCTACAATTCTCTGTCGAATCACCAATGCCACCAGCATGATACTCGCACTTAGCATTTGGATCATACCCTCTTAGATAGGGCATTCTACTGGTTTTATTGGACATGGCACAACTAAAGAACTTTGGAATAAGCGAGGTAGCAACTCTATATAGGACATTAGGATTGGGTTAAATTAAATTTGCTTCCTCTCTTGATTATTTTGAGGTCTTATTTGGTTGAGATTTAGGTTTTGGTTCCAATGTTGGGGTGGTCTCATAGGTGGTATTATGAAAAACATAGGCGGAGCAGGTTAGTAAGGGCGCGGCTGATAAGGTTGGGGACTTGGGTTTTGTGAAACGACATTGATATATGTGTAAGATATTTGAAGGCCAAGAAATGTAGGTTGGAATTGAGGGGGTGCATGGTTAGGTTTGATGAAAGGGATTTCTCTTAGGTGGAAAGTTATAGCATTAGTCTCTCCTTCTTTCCTCCTTCCTGGACCATTTATGAATTTCTTCAAATTGGAGGGTTCACCAGAATTGTGAAATATCTTACCGCTCCTCATTCCTCCTTCCACTCTTTCTCCGATAATTACAATATCAAAGAAGTTTGACGAAACACTTCCAATCATCCTATCATAGAATGGTGATTGGAGAGTATCAATAAACATCGCTACCATTTCCTTTTCAGACAAATGGAGCTCCACTTGAGCCGCAACTTCTCTCCATCTCTGGGTGTATTCTTTAGAAGTCTCATCTTCCTTCTTTAATATGTTTTGCAGTTGTAATCTATCGAAAGCCATATTAATATTGTACTTGAAATAATACCAATGTTTATTGGGTTCTTAGCTATCAGTGGTGTATAACTATGGGGAAGGCCATATGGGTGGACCTGAAGGTTGTGCAAGATTGGGTTGATTTGATGGTTGGCCAGTGTTTGTTGGGTTCTCAGCTATCGATGTTGTATAACCATGGGGAAGGCCATATGGGAGAAATTGGACATTTTGTTGATTGAAAGCTTGTTGGGGAGGCCTTTCTACATGCAAGGTCAAAGGCACCATTATTTCATGAGGAGGAAAACTTTGAGACGGTCCTTGTGTAGGGGTAAAACCTAGTGGATAAGTAAGAGTGGGTTGTGCTGGAGGTGCTTGAGCAGGGTCCCCTCTGTGGTTGTTCTCTCTAAAGACTTCAGTGCCTCTAGGATTTGTGCCATTTGTTCCTTTAGCTGGTTAACATCATTTCTCAGTTCTTCATTGTGCTCCTTTAACTCATCTATAATCCTTGTTTGAGCATGAGTTCTATAAGGATGCTTTAAAAAACATTTTTCCGTTATATTTGTTTAATTTTTTGAAATAGTTTGTAGTCAAAAAAGAATTAATCAAAATAAAAAATGCACTTAAAAGATAGCAACCAAAGATTAAAGAATCATCATAGTTGTTGAGCGTCTTCGAGTCTTTAATAGAAATTAATGTAGGATCCTTGTCAAATGAAACACACCAAAATATAATCCATAATCAAATCAAAACATCAAAGTACATCAGAGTTTGATTCAAAATACATCTTCTTTTTCCTACCCATACATAGTCTACCCATATCCCAAGTCATTGCATCACCCCTTCCTAGCCTTAGCTATCATTCCTTTCATCTCTAAGACCAACCAGTTGCATTGGCTGAGGAAGTCTTTAATCTCTTAAGATATCGTGTAGAAAAATGTAGCTATCTTGGCATTTGACAACATGCGCAGGACGTCATCAATTGCAGCATTAGTTAATTATGCAAGTTGTATAAAGCGCTTGATCCAATACTCAATGAGCTTATCTCCTTCTTCTATCTGACCATCTTTCACTTTCACAATGACTTCATACTCTTTCATGATTTTGATCACTTCCCAATTTTCAGCATTAATTTCAGTCTCGCATGCTATGATAATTTCCTTTATCTCCTCTTCCATGTTTTGCATTCATGTTTGGAGTTCACTAGCTTGAGTCAAAGCTTCTTCTCGATCTCCTTTTCGCCTTGTATAATGCACCTTTTAATTGTCGTTTCTCATATAAAGTTGCATTTCGTTCCTTCACCCTTAATCTCAATTCCTTGCTTGCAGCTTCAAGGCAACATTGAACTTTAGTTGCATGATTTTGCACAAACTTTTGCTTATTATAAACCTCTTCATAGGCTTGTTATTTTTCACTGTTCTCTCTCTTCAAAATGGCGCAAGTTTAGCAGCTCTCTCGAAGCTCCATTTCTACCCTCACATTCTTCTCAATCATCTTAGCCAGTCTTGCTTTTAATTCTTTTACTTCTTCATTCTCAAAGGGTTTTGAATTAGATGGCTCACTTTCTTGGGAGGTACTTGGATCTTTGAATGGTAACTTAATCTCTTGGACTCTTTCTTTAACCTATTGATGGTAACTTGCCTTTGCTGCACAACTTCTCACGCCTACTCTTTTCCTTTTCGAACAACCCTTGCCCAAGCATTCCTTGCCTTTTGAATAAGCTCAGTGAAATTTCCATCTTCATAGTAGACAACAAAAGGAACCAACAATTCCTCAACAGGTGGTCTCATCATTGGATAAGCGAGCTGACGTTGTCTCATAATTGGATTATAATTTATACAACCCCGAGTACCTATAAGAGGAACATTTGAATAATTGTCACAGTGAAACACAACAGTCGTTGACTACTGCCATGGAGTGTGTCACCGATGTGTCCTTCATTCAAACTAGCTAAGTGATTAGTCCACTCTTAATCATTTTTCTGCCCAATCTGAAACCTCAGCAAATCCGTGATCGGACACTTGATCTCACTTGGCCTTTTAAAGACATGAGCAGTGAGCCATATATAGAGAATAGGCAGACAACATATAATCCTCTTTCCTTTCCTTTCATGGCAGAAGCTCAACGTACAATAAACATTAGCTAGTATTGCAGGGACAAGATTTTTAGATCGATTTTTGCATGCAAGAAGCACATCTATTGCTGCTAAATCCACAAAGTTGTCATGCCTAGGGAAGAGGACAATGCCATAAATGGTGAGTGCTAGGACATCCATGAAAGTCTCCTAATCTTCTTTTTCTGCCAAATTATGCATGTGCTGCTCAATAAATTCTCTTGTGAATCCTTTATTCTGATGTCTTTCTTGATAAGCTTGTTGTAACTCTGTTGAATGGATCCTTAAGACATTGGCGATAGTCGGCAGAGATGCATGATGTTCCATTGGGCGATATGGCTGTTGACCTCCAAAGGCAGGTCTAGAATTTGCTCAAATTCATCTAATGTCGGAGCCAATTGAAAATCTTAAAAGGTGAAGCACCTTAATGGGAAATCATAATATTGGGTTAGAGCTATTATGGCATCTTCTTGCACATTCACTTTCATCAATAATACTGGGCTAGCAGTGTCAGCCTTTTTAACTTTCAGATGCAATTTTCTTCTCAGCTCAACTGATCTCACCTCACTGTTACTCGATTACACATTAATTTCTATTTTATTGAATACTCCAACAACTTTGTGATTCTTAACCTATAAATAAAAAGAAAATAATGAAATATTATTCCAAATATCGTATTTGTTTCATTAACATAGGATCCTAGTGGCACTAAGGATCAATACTGATTCTAAACAGATAAATGTCCATACAAGAATCAATATTAATTCTAAATGAATTGATAATCCACTAGGCTTTTATATTAATGAGACAAATATGTGATGACCATGATAATGCAAGAACAATATGAATCATTACCCTTTTAAAGTCTTTTTTGAATTTTTTTTTTATAAATCTAAATTGATACTTAAAAGGGTAATACTTCATATGACAATGTAATGATGCAAGAAATATGCCAATTGTCATCCTTAACCTTATTTCAAAACTAATTTTAAATTTATTACAAGTGTCACAAGGATGGCAATAAGCATGATACTCAAATAAATAATATGCAATAATATATGAAATGATGATGATGTAAGAAAAATTAGCTTAGAGAATCATGTGAATCACTAGCCTTTAATATTGTTCCAAAATGTAATAAAATCTTTTTTATTTAACAACTTTAAGGTGCTAATAATTCATGTGACTTCTAAAAGAGTAGATAAGAAAAAATACTCCCTTTGTGTCCTATTTCGGGTCACCTAAAGGGTCTAACTTAAAGATCTACGACTTTTTTTTGCATATAAAAACTCACTAAAGGTGACTTATAATCCTAAAAGGTCACTAAAGTTAAGATACAATCCTTGATGTTTACCACACTAGTAGAGAGTCTACTAGATGCAGGACATCAAGAAAAGGTCAAACTCTAGCTATGGTTTTCACAATAGCCAAATAGGATGTGCATCCAAAATGACACCGCTACATAACCCCTCTAAACCTAGGTATACTCAGACCTGTATAGGGCTCCGCTGAAAGTATGTGATGAATGTGTAAGTGATAGTGTGCGATGGAGCATACAAACCTTATCAACTCAACAAAAATAAAAAGCTACAAAAATTAAACAATACGAGAGTATCACAGATTATCAATAGTCATCTACTCTAGGATTAACAACAATATCAGTAAGAGTATACAACGAGATTTCACAATTCATACACAAAATACATGCACGAATAAAAGAAACATAATGCAATTAATTCAAAAAATAAGAAAAAGAAAGGGATTAAACAAATAGAAACAAAATAAAATAAATTCGCACAATCAATTATCAAAGGCTTGACTGTCTAAAAGATGTCCCCAGTGGAGTCGCCATCTGTCGTAACTAGGCAGTCACAATGTTACAGCGAAAACGTTTAAGAAAAAACATATTTTAGGAATAAAAAAACGTTTTCTAAAAATCAGAGGAGTTGCCACTAAAATTTATTTTAAGAAAACTTTGAAATTTTTTTTAAAATAATATGATCTTTGAAACCAAAAATGAGTTCGAAGTCATTTACGTGTAGAGAAGGTATAAGCACCCTACAACGTCCGTTTAAAAATAGTTACCTTAAATTATTTGTGCAAATTCAACTGTGAATACCAATTTTTTTTTACCTCCTAGGAATTGCTTCCATTTTTTTAATATATATATATATATATAATTGTTTTACATAAAAAATAGAAAATTTTGAAAAAAGAGATTTGGCCCCCAGAAATGGAAA